CCCTGGCTCAACATCCTTATGAGGGGCCTTAGAATGCCTATTATGCCAAGGAGTGACAGACCTTGAGGATAAGAAATGCTGGCACTCAAGAGCCCTGCTCTCTCCAACACCTCCACACTCAGCCTCTTGCAGACTTAATGGCATGATTATGAGCCAAGCCGATCTTGAGAGGTTAGGACACAACAGGGTTGGACCCCAGAGCTTTCAATTCCTTCAGAGAAGTAGGAAAGACTGGTTTCCATTAAACCTCTTTTGAAGAAGGCTCCTGACCTATCTTTTGATTTTGTTTTTCTTTCTGAGTAAAGGAATAAATCTATACCAAATTTTGAATGAAGTTGAATTTGCTTTTTCTTACTCATCTAAAAATTACTTATAAGAATACTGTCTCTGGTGCAGACATGCATCTATTAGTCAGAGCTGAACCTCCTACTGTACATGAAGAAGGTATTTGAATGAGAAAGCCAAGCTGGAATTCACATTTGTTACCAAAAGAAGATGTCTCGAGTGGCTCTAGACAGTGGCTGGAGCCCACTGCACTCCCCTTTTGGTCACTACGTGGCACTCTCTCCAACTCAGACCAGGGATCACTTCACCCATCCGAGGCCCTATGGTCTCCTTCTGCCAAGAAGGACCTCTTGGTTCCCTGGCATATCCCTGCATCACTCTTTCCTCTGATTACCAAGTACAAAGTGAAGACTAAATGTATACCTATTTGGCTAAGCCATTAATGACTGATTGTTTAAGCAACTCACCGCACTACCAAAAAAAGGACATCCCACGTAAAAGGTATTTAGAAGGGGAAATGCTATCATTCGGCATATTGGTTGATCGTCAGAGCTCTACAGTATTAATATACTCGGAATCCCACACTAAGTAGAAAAAAAATGGACTCTAAAGAATGATGTACAACAAGAAAAATTTAGAACGATGTGACATTTATTGACATGCATTTGTTTAAAATTCAGTCTCAGAATGGGAAGAGTATGCAAGATGAAGAAACAGGAACAATAGGAACAAATTCATGAACAAGAGAATTGCTTATCTCTATGTTGGGTTAAAATAAACCATGAAAACTTAAAAATAAACAACAGGTAGTGAAAAAACTTTACTGCAATCCTAATGACAGACCGGGGATCGGGCCTACCTAACAATAAGCCTTGCTAGACTTCCTAGTTCCACTTCCTATCTCCTCTAGAGTCTGCCATTCCTCTCCCAAGGGCCCGGGGTTCAAGGCTATGCTTGAATGAAAATTACATTACAGTCTTTCTTCTTTCACAGCAACCTGTGCAAAAGGTAGAGATGGGGGTGGAGGAATGACGATTGCGTAACGCTGCAGCTGTTGACAGTGACTGAGAGAAAACCAAAGGATCTTTCTTCCTTAGGGGACAGGCAGGCCCATCGTTACATGGGGGGTTACTCACATTTGCGTGAATACGTCGATGTACATTTTTACCTAACAGTTTTGTTGGCATTTAATTCACATAGGATAAAATTCAATAGTTCAATCACATCAAGAAGAGCTGTACAGTCCTTATCACAATCAGTTTTAGAACATTTTCTTCATTTAAAAAAATCATTTTATTGGGGGCTCGTACCATTTTGTTCATTTTTGTACTCGTTTATTACCTCCCCATTTCCCCCCAAACTCCCCTGCCATACCCCCAAGGAACCAGTCATCCAGTTACCATCTCTGTAGATTAACCTATCCTGGATTTCAGAAAAAAATATATATTTAAAAAATAACAAAGTAGAACAGACAGAAACCTCAACCAAAAAGAAAGCAGAAATATTAAAAACTAGAACAAATTTAAATGGACCAAAAACATTTAATGGACCACAGGGAGATCAGTTGATAGGGGGCTAAATTTTAACCTAACTGCATCTGCAACAATCCACTTTCCATTGCATTCTGCGTGTTAGCAAAGCTATTCACATTGTTGGTCCATGGGCAGAGGGGATTCACTAGGGGCTTAATCCACATGTATTTCCCCTTCTTTTTTTTTTTCCTTTTAAAAACTGAAACAGCTTTAAAATTGGTCAAAATAGAGAGCAAATGATAGGATATGACATTTTGAACTATCACATCTACCATAATCAACTTTCCAGTGCTGTCTGCCTGGTGGCAGGGCTGTTTGCGTTCCTGCACTGTGATCAGAGGGGACTCACCAGAAGCTTAATCCATGTGTGGGCTCCGAAAATGGATTTGGGGCTTCACTGTTATCTGTAGCATTTTGCAAACCAAGTGTTCACAATTTCAGTTCTGATGCCATTCTCTCCTGTAGATTTCTACAATATTATGTACAATCCTTGGATCACACAGGTTGGTATGCCTGTTTAAAAAAAATCAATTCTAATAATGCCTTCCCCATTCATTGGCTTTTTCTTTGAATAGTTGCACTGGTACGTACAACTTTAATTATGCCTGTTGCCTTGTATTTTTTTCTCTTAATTCTTCCAGGCTGGGTTTACTCCGTTCTTTGGCTTTATAATAAAGCTAGGGTGATTTGATTCAGAGAAAGGGGGAAAAGAGAAAGTAAGAATAAATGATCATCTGAAACCCAGGAGCAATTATAAATTTTAATTCAATTACCCACAAGGTTGAATTTTTCACCCCAACTAGTATAAATAATCAAGAGTATACTATGGTGTTAGAGGATATGTGGAAATGATCAGTGGAAAGAAATGAGGACAGTTACTTCTTTCTGTAGAAAGACTCCAGTCTCAAAACCCTATGCAATTTATAACTTGGAGACACTGACTAAGCAGCTCATTAGAGAATGGCCTGTCAGAATGGTGAGCATTTTCTTTAACAAGGGAACACTGTTGTATTGGCATCTGGGCAACTGTTTTCCTGGGCTTTCATGGCAGCTTGTTGGTTCTACCACATTGTCTCGATTCAAACCAAGATTCAGTTCACACTTGCAGCTGGGGGCCTTGTAGATTTCATGGATTCTTTCCCTGGAGTCATGGATGAAGCTATTTCTCAAGTGGCATGATCCATTAGCTTCTGGCACAATTCCCCAGGCCACCGTGGTATTACCATACTCTCTGCTATTCCCTGAATGGTTTGCCTTGAGCAGTCATAATGCAACCTTCGGAAAGTCTATAATGAGGAAAACATACATCCTTGGACCGACTGATGCTGGCATTTTTCTCTAACAGGGTCAAGTTCATTATTCTGGCAATAGTCTGTTTTTCTTGGCTACTTTTTGCAATGGCATATTCCATCTCTTCCTCTGAAAAGGCTTCTTTAATTTTCTCCGCTCTGCGTCCTGTGTTTCCTGCAGAAGCAGCTCCAGGCCCAGCAGTGGCAGAGGAAAGTCTCAGCTCAGGAAGGGCTCCGTCTTCTCCGCAGTAAAGATAAAAAGTAGCAGATTTAAAACACAAGGAGAGGATTAGAAAAATGGCTGCCTTTTCCTGACGTCAATTTCCCCAGGATTAGCCCCTGTAAGTAAATTCAGGTATGGGAGCGCAGGTATCAGTTAGGAAACAGAAATCAGCTGTGGAGTCAGACGATCCAAAGTCAGATCTCTGCCCTTCCACTTACAATGGCTTACCTTGTGTAACCTGTGTTGCCAGGAGGAGGAGGAGGTGGAGGTGGAGCAGGAGAGGGAGGGTAGGGGGATGGGTAGGGGGAGATGTAGTAAGAATTATAAAATGAAAAGATAATATCTTTAAAGTGCCCAACAACAAATCGCTATTTCTCTTCCCTTTTGCCTTAAATATAATCTCATTGGTAGGGTCCATGGTGGGGCATAATGATCTCAACCCACATATTCTTCACCATCACGACAATTTCTACAACCTCACTCACACAGTCCCTGGTACCTGATAGCTACTTGACAAAAAGACTGTGGTGTTTCCCTATCTTGCCTTCCTTTCCTCAGCCATTCCCAGTCATGGGAGCTCTCTCTTTACCAGTTCTTTTGACAAGTGGATCCTAGGGAAGATGATTCCAGCTCATTGGAGGGCAGATTGAAATTTGGTTTGTTCCCTGGGAATTGCTGTTATTGGGTCAAACCAAGAGAAGGAAGGGCAAAAAAGGGGAGGCTAGAATTGTATGGGACAGAGGGAGGGGACAATGTGGAACCAAGAACTTTCAGAGAACTGAACAAAACGTCATGTGACAAGTCAGAATCCCAGTGACAAGGGGACGTGGCTGCTTCCTCTTCGTTGACCCTTCCCTCTCCACTGATACTTTAACCCAGAATAAGTTTTCTTTTTCCGGAAGGGTTACAGCACAGATTATGCCAAACCTCTGACGACATGTGTTTTCCACCTTTTTAGGTCATTAGTACTTGCTTCTCTATGTAACTGAAGCGGACAACATCATTGGCATGGGCCCTTGTATTCCATAGAGAGTCAGACATGGAACTACACACACTCGTTCACAATAATATTTATTAACGGCATAACAGTGTGGCCTTTGAAGAAAATTCTTCATTTGAACTCAGTGCTGGAAAATTCATAATGGGAGTCCCGGGGAGAATGGCTATTTAGGGGCACAATGCCTTTTCTTGCTCTAGAACGATGCCATTTTAATTTTTTTTCTCTTTCAATGTTGCCAGTTTTCATGGAAGTTGTGGACAAGACTATTTTACTCTTGCTTCATCTCAAGGGATTCTTCCTTATATCTGAGCTTTGCCTTTCTGACTTGGGGAGAGTTGGCTTTCCCTTTGAAGATCTTTTTGTGGTCTTGGTCCAGTTTTAGCTCGTGATACTCACTTGGCTGGGGCAAGTGCCCGCGTGGACAGCTGTGCCATTAGCTTCATCTCTCTGCGTCCGTTCCAGGTAGGTGACATGTTTCTTCCTGTAAACCTGGACCACGTGGCCAACTGCTGACCTTTGTAGTGTCCTCTCGCAGCCTGAACTTCATCTTCCTAACGGAGGGGCAGGAACTAAACATTGCATGTCTGTCTCAGTTCCTTGGAAAGAGAGGAAGGCAGAATCTTCCTGAGCACAAGGGAAAGTGCATTGAAATGCCTTTGGGGGTTTGCTCCCGTTCTAAGTCACAAAAGGATTGAACTTCATTTTGGCTGCTGCTCCTTCAGCCAGGGCCCCAAAAGGCTTGTAGTTTAACCCTTGATTCCCT